GCGCTGTGACTGCGGTACTGAATTTTGGTGAACAGGTGGCGGTGTAGTATGTGGTGAATATGGGTGACGGCTGGTGTGAGTGATTTGTGGTGTGTGTAGGCAATTAGGGGGCGTGAGTGGGCAGGTCTGGCCAGGGGGTACTGGCAGGGGGAGGGTAGGGCTAGGGTTCCTATAGGGTATATGTAAAAAGAAGAAAAACTATATGTCTGGTGCAGCAGTAGAAAATTTCAGGCTCCCGGGGAGTAAATGGTTGTGTTTTTTTTTTTTTGTTTACTCCCAGGGAGCCTGAAAGTTTCTACTGCTGCTTTTTTGTCTTTTAGTTCAATTTTTTTTTTTAAATCTAGACAGAGAGACAAAAGGTAGAGAAAAAATAGAGACATGGAAAAAGGGAGACAAAGGTAGAGAAAACGAGAGGGAGAGAGAGGGAGAGAAAAGAAGAGAAATGGAGAAGAGACAGACCAACAAAGGAGAGGGACAAGAGAGGACAGTGAAATAGGATGAGATAACAGGAGACAGTAAAAAGAGTAGAGAGTGAGAAGAGATGGAACACGAGACTGAAAAGAGAAGAGAGGAGAGAGTGAAAAGAGAAGGGAGAACAGAAGTCAGTGGAGAGAAAATAGTGAAATGAGAAGGGAGAGAACAGGAGTGAAAGAAGACAGAGTGAAGAGAGAGAGAGAGTACAACCAAGAGAGCAAGAGAGTTAAGAGGGACAAGGAAGACCAGTTAGGGTTAAAATGAAAATGAAAAGGAGTAAGACCAAAGAAAGAGTGAAAAAGGGGAGGAGAGGGGAAAAAGATTGAGTGACTGTAGAAAAGAACAACAAAAAGCTACAGTTAAGGCTAGAGAGAAGAAAAATAGTTAGAGAGAAATAGCAAAATACAGAAACAGAGGGAAAACAAATCAGGGAAACAGTTACAGAAGCACAGAGCTACAGGCACTGAGAAACAAACACACAGTTAGAGACAGACAGAAATGAAGTTAGCAACAGAAAAGTGCGAGGTAAAAGGAAGAAGGGCAGTGGAAAA